AAATGGCCCAAGTATGTCCAGAGCGACGAGCTCGTTAACCCGGGAAACTTTTATGGACTGCAGCGGAGGGTTGGACCCCCTCGCAGGCGGCTTCCTCTGCGCGCATTGCGTGCATGACCCCAAGAGATCCCCCACGTCCTTTTCCATGCCCGGCCAGAAGAAATCCAGCTGGAGCGTGGCAAAGGTCTTGTGAACCCCCAAGTGCAGAAGCCGCTCATGAACAGCCCATACCACCTTACCCCTTAAAGCAGCAGGCACCACAAGCCGCTGGCGCCGGGTTTTTCCATCCCAGTGCATCAAAAGACCCTGGAACAACCCCCACGAGTCAACGTTTTCCACCCCCTGACCAGCCCCCCCGACGCGACGGCGCAAAGCGAGGAGGGAGGTGTCCTCCATTTGGAGGCGTCCCCATTCCGCGACCGGCAACCCCAGCAACGAATCCCTCCCTTCTTGCTCGATAGGACCCGAAGCCGAAGGTGCATCGGTAGCGGCCACGAGGACCGAATCGGTGGTGACGTTCGGGGGCCTACAACGCCCCGAACCCAACAGGCACGCGCACTCCGAAGTGGGTGGCAATCGTGACAGGGCGTCAGCGTTCGTGTGGCGGACACCCTTACGATATGTGGTGACAAAGTCATAGTCTTGGAGGATCTCCAACCATCGAGACAACTGGCCCGATGGTTGTTGAACCCGCAGGGCGTACTGTAGGGCCGCATGATCTGTACGGACGGTGAACCGCCGACCGTACAGATACGGGCGGTACTGCTGAATGAAATAAACAATGGCCAATAATTCCCGACGGGTAACGCAGTACCGCTGTTCGGCTGGAGACAGTACCCGACTACCGTAAGCCACCACATGCTCTACGCCCCCGATGAGCTGGGACAGCACACCCCCGATGCCCGTGTTACTTGCGTCAGTATCGAGCAAGAAGGGTTGTGAAAAATCCGGGTAATTCAACGGCGGAGCTCCCACCAAAGCATTTCTGAGGGCGCGAAAAGCAGCCTCCTCCTCCGGCCCCCAATGAAACCTGACTCCCTTGGACGTCAAGGCATGCAATGGTTTCGCAATCGTAGCGAAGTCAGCCACAAATCGCCGATAATACGACGCGAACCCAATGAAACTCCTGACCTCTCCCACAGAGGTGGGAGTCGGCCAGGAGCTGACGCATTCAGTTTTGGCGGGATCAGTGGATATCCCCGAGCGCCCAACAATGTGACCCAAATATCGCACCGATTCGCGGAGTAAATGACACTTCTGTGGTTTAAATTTCAAATTGGCAGCCCGCATTTTGAGAAAAACAGCACGCAACCTCTGGAGGTGTTCCTCGAAGGATTTGCTAAAGACGATGACATCGTCTAAGTAAATCAAACACGAATCCCATTGCAAACCTGCCAAGACCAATTCCATTAACCGCTGAAAAGTTGCCGGCGCAGAATGTAAACCCATCGGCAAACGGTTAAATTGGAAGAGGCCCTGCGGTGTACGAAAAGCAGTCTTAGGTTTCGATTCGTCATCCAGAGGAAGTTGCCAGAATCCAGATAGCAAATCAAGGGTGGAAAAGAATCGCGCACCGGCCAAGGCGTCGAGCGACTCATCCATCCGAGGAAGCGGGTACGCATCTGCCACAGAGATTTTGTTGAGACGCCGAAAGTCAACACAAAATCTCAGTGAGCCGTCGTGTTTTTTCACCAAAACGATCGGCGCGCCCCACGGGCTGGTGGAAGGGGAAATGATATCGGCGGCTAGCATGTCATCAACAGCCGATTTGACATGATCCTTTTCGGCGGGACTCAACCGAAAGGGATTTTGGCGGATTGGCGCGCTGTCACCCGTGTCAATATGGTGTCGCAGCAATTTTGTACAACCAATATCAAATTTGTGTTGACTAAAAACGTCAGCAAATTCGCTCAGGAGAACTCGCAGCTGCGCGCGCTGCGAGTCAGACAGGTCCACTGAACCCGCGCAAAGCGCATCCAGCCATCCGTCATCAGAGTCCGAATGCGGTCGCGACGGAGGATCGGTGGATACCTGACCCACGAGTGGTTCCTCATAGGGCACCGGCGTTGCGTGTGCAAGCACGGTCCCTTGAGGAACCACGGCCGTTCGCGATCCCACATTAAGGACTGCAATGAAGGGGTCCCCATCCCCTCTCACCATAGTCTGAGCCGCGAGCAAATCGGGTCCATTGACCCCGGCCCGAGATGGACCCAACAAGACCCCCCGATCCGCAACCCCTGCATCAAACGGCCGACGCAACCTAAGAGGGACGAGCATCTGAGCCCCCGGAGGCACGCGCACAGTTTTTGTGACGAGCGCCTGCACGGTGGCAAACGCCCGACGCTCCGTGGTGGGGGAAGACAGAAATGTAACGCGTCGGCCCGATGGGAGCTCAATGCACCCTTGGTCAATAAGGATACGGATGGGCATTTTGGCCAGAAAATCCGTCCCCAACAGGCACGGAACCGCGAGTGAGGAGGAAACCAAAACAGGGCCGGATAATTTAATGTCCCCAATGCAGATAGTGGCGCGGATTTGGCCAATAATGCCCAGAGAGCCCCCGTTAGCGGCATAGCACGGCACGTCAACAGGGAGCAAGGGACGACTTTGAACGGGAAGGATGTTATAAATTAAATCAGATATAATGGTCGCCGATGCCCCTGTGTCAATTAAAATCCGCACCTCTACCCCATCAATGTGACCGACCACGACCGATGATCCCGCCGACGCAGCAACGACACGATGGGCGAGCTCCGACCACTGACCCGGTTGGAGCGCTCGCCGCATTACCGAACAATCGCGCGCGACGGACGGGGAATTTGGAGCCCTGTTTAGTTGAGCGCGTGAGTGTGTGTCGGATGTGTGCGTGGGCCAAACGTGTGAGGTGCCGCGACTCGCCGTATTTCTCTGCTGGAGCTTGGGAGGAGACGGCGTGGCGTCCTGACGAGGTGTCGCCCCGCGCTGACGGGGAGCCCGGCATCCAGACGCAACGTGGCCTTGCAGGCCACAGTTGTAGCAGCGTGTGAGCGCCCCAGATGACCTGGGCTGCTCCTGGCGGCTCGGTCCATTCCGAGCCTGCGGTGCCGCCGATCTCCATTCCCCTCGCCGCTCCACCCCGCAGACCTCCTCCGATGGGAGGGCGGTGGTCGCCATGGCATGGCCGGCCGCCCCCTTTGCCGCCTTCCGACGCAGGGACCGCAAGCCCCCGTGGATGTGGCGCGCGACCAGCAGGGACGACATCTCCGCGTCGTCCTGAGCCAAGACGTTGACGTCCAGCTCGTCAGCGAGTAGCAGCAGCTTCTCAGCTACCATGGCATCCACTCCTTCCTCGTCCATCCTTGGGAAAGCAGCCTTTGCCAGAGCCAGGAGAGCCGTCCGGAAGGCCAGGGGTGACTCGTTGGCGCCCCGACTCCGATCGTGGAACAGCTGCCTGCAGTCCGAAGGCGGCCCATAGACGGCTGACAGCAGCTGCAACGCCAGGTGTAGAGTGGCGCGCTTTTCCCTCGGCGCCGAGGTGAGGGTAGCCAGGGCGTCGTTGTCCAGCATCGCTGGCAGCGCGCGTAGAGCCTCGGCGTCCGTCCAGTTCGCCATCTCTTGATGAGCGATGAACCGCCTCTTGAAGCCGCCCCAGTCTCCGTCAGCGCCGACAAATTCTTTAAGAGGCGGCAGACGCTGTTGTAAGGCGGCGTCCGTGGCCGCAGAACGCTCTCCGTCGCTCCCCGCCGATGATACAGTGTGGGCGGGCCGTGCACATGGCATCGCCGGTCGCTCTGATGTTGACGCGCCGGCCGGCGTTGATGATGTCACGGCTTGTGCTTGGCGCTCAGCAGACACGTGACGCGGGCCGGCCCCGCCCTCCGCTCGTACTGTAGAGATGGCGGGAAATTTGACCGCGAGCCGCGTCGGGGTGGCGGGAAACGTCGCCCCGCGCCGGCTGCCGTCGTCGACCCGCGCTGCTCCTCCAGCCCCCAGCCGCGTGATCTCCTCCAACGCGGCGGCCGCGGCGTAGAGCAGGTCCGCCAGGCGGGAGTGGGCCAGCCGGAGTCCTTCGGCCGACGCATCCCCCTCCTCCTGTCGTAGCGGCGCGGGCGTACTCGGCCCCGGCTGCTCCGATTCGACCCCGGCCATCACTGGTGGAGATTCGGCCGCGGCGTCTTCCATCTCCGACTCCCTGGTACGTGTCGTCCCTCGTGTGTCCATCGTTGGACGTTTACTTCTGACACCAGATGTAGTAAGTATATATATGGAGGCTTGACGACAGGATCGGAGGCACACTTATTTATTACACCAACACAGTTGTACAGGTCACTTGGCTACAGGGATTCTCGACAGCTAACCCCTCTAACCTATACCAATTCCTCCACTACGGGACTAGGGGAGGCTATCTGTCCCAGCTTGGTTAAGCTGGGATCCCGGCTCCCTGAGTCACCAGAGCAGCTGGGCTCTCGGGGCCACGCCACCGGCTTGCCCTGGTCGGCCCTTATAAGGACAGCGAGCCAGGGGAGCTCTGGGGCCTACACTAGCTGGTCTTCCGTCTTCTCTGGTTAAAGCTGAGTCCCGACCTCGAGCCCTCGAGCTCATCACCTTTTATAGGACTCGCCCCCGAGGGGGGGCCCGTGGGGGATACACATGCGGACGTCGGTGCTAGCGCCACCCTTGTGTACGGCCGTAACCCCGCCCCTTGTGTTTGTTGGCCATCCGTGGCCATGCATAATCACACCTCAACATTCGTAGCCATGCGCAATTACACCTCTACAACTGTAACATTACTTACAAAATATGTTCAGCAGATTAGCACGAACCCGGCTTCATTGTGGCAGGAGGTGCACAGCTGCCAATCCCACCTCTACGAAGGAATGTTCGCGTTTGCAGTCGTGTCTTTGCACGGTGCACTGCAAAATGGTGGGTGGGTGGTTTGGTTTTCACCGCGAACCTCCTTCCAAAACAACGCCACATTGACAACTATGCACACGGAGACACTTACGCTCGCAGACGTGAAGTTGACTTGAAAACATTTATTGACCACGCGACTCAAATGTCCATTCGACCATTCAAGCGTAGCGACAGGTAAGCGATGTCAGTGCACATTCATCGCGAACAAATACCTCGAGGCATTTCGTGACGACTTGCAAGGCGGAGCATCGGACGTCTCTGTCGATGCCGTTGTGTTTGTCGCGCTTGAGGTGCATCTTCACCTCGAAGTCAACGTCGCCGCTCAGATCGTCGCGCATCTCCACGTATGTGAAGCTGCTTGTGGACGGCATCCGCTATTTCTTCTCTCCTGCTGCTGCTTCTGCTGCTTCTGCTGCTCCTCCTGCTGCTGCTGCGAGCGGCTTGAGAGACGCAGGCGGCTCGCGCGCTCCTCACCGCCCGTCTCGCGGCGGTAAAAGTAGTTGAAGTTGGAGACGACGACGGGCACGGGGAGGGCGATGGTGAGCATGCCGGCGATGGCGCACAGCGAGCCCACCGCCTTGCCCCACGCCGTCACGGGACACATGTCGCCGTAACCCACCGTCGTCATGGTTACGATGGCCCACCAGAAGGTGTCGGGGATGCTTCGGAACTCCGAGTTTAGTTGGTCGGCCTCGGCAAAGTAGACGGCGCTGGAGAAGAGGACGACGCCGATGACGAGGAAAAATACGAGCAGGCCCAGCTCGCTCGCGCTCGCCTTCAAAGTCTGGCCCAGGATCTTCAAGCCCCTGGAGTGCCTGGACAGCTTGAGTATCCGGAACACTCGCACCAGCCGGGTCATCCGCAAAATCGCCAGTGACGTGGCCTGCTGGTCACGCCCTTGGGGCTTGGCCATCTCGATGCCGAGGGTGATGAAGTAGGGCAGAATGGCCACGATGTCAATGATGTTCATGATGCTTTTGAAAAATCCCAGTTTGTTGGGGCACGCAAAAAACCTCACCAGCAGTTCAAAGGAAAACCAAACGATGCACATGGTTTCCACGATAAAAAATGGATCAGCGACAAAGCCGCGATGTGTACCGTCGACCTGCGTGCCGTTGATGTCCTTTGCCGGGAGAAATTTCTGCTTATTCTCGTCCCTGAGTTCAGGCAGAGTCTCGAGGCAGAACATGATGATGGAGATGAGGATGACCAGCACAGACACGGTGGCAATTCCCCTGGCCGCGATGGAGCTCTCGGGGTATTCGAACAGCAGCCACACCCGCCGCTGGAACTCGTCCGATGGCAGTGGCTCCTTCTCCTCCACCTCCTCCTCTCCGATGAAGCCCTCGTCTTCCCAGAACTTGACCACGGCCTCGTTGCCGAGCTCGTAGAACTCGATCTCCTCGCCGAACACTTCGAGGGAGACGTCGACCGGGCGTCTCAGCCGCCCGCCGGACTGGTAGTAGTGGAGGATGGCGTCGAAACTCGGCCGGTTCCTGTCGAAGAAGTACTCGTTGCGCAGGGGGTCGTGGTGGCGCCACCTCTTGCCGGGGTCGCCCAGGAGGGTGTCCGGGAACCGGCCGAGTGTCTTGAGCTGCGTCTCGAATCGCAGCCCCGACACGTTGACGACGACCCTCTCGCAGGACTCGTGCGTCAGCGGCTCTGTGCCGCCGTCAAGCAGCGCCGCCTCGTACATGGCGGTTGGAGAACTGCGCCGGGGTCAGAGGTCACAAACGGGTTTTGATTCCTTACCCGTACCCGTACCCGGCCGCACCCGTACCCTACCCGTACCCGCCCTGGTACGGGTAGGGTACGGGTATCTGGTACCCGATTGCGACCTCTGGGATGAAGCCATGTTGCAGGCGCGGGTGGGTTGATTCTAGGAACTTGAATTGTGAGAAGAGAGAAGACGTTGGGAAATGAGTGACAAACGGTTACTCACCAGTGACTCACGGCCTACCCGTACCCGGCCGCACCAGGGTCGCAAACGGATACCCGGCTACCCGTACCCGGTCGGGTACGGGTAGCCGGGTATCGGGTAGGGTACGGGTATCGGGTACCCGGTTGCGACCTCTGGCAGGGGTCAGGCTGGCACGCGGCAGATTTCGACAACAAAAAATGTCAGCAGATACAAAGCCGCGTGAAATAAAAAAAATATGCAGAAAATCAGTGGCGGCGCAGAAATGCAATTGTATGTTTCGTATAAGTAAGAGTGGTTGTAAATATTTTAGCAGGTACTGGTGATTTTAACGGTGGTGTTGGCTGGGGTTGTAATGTCATTGTCAGAATTTTAATGGCGGTCGATGTCGAATTTATACAATTCGTTGCTGTTTAATGGGAGGCAATTACAAATTAGTGAGGGCAGGCGATTTCAAATTTTTCTTTTTTCAGTTGATTTTACATTGCATGGTCATGCAATGTATATGTATGCAATGTTTGCTGAACATCTTTCGCACCGTACGTAGCCAACCGTGTCAATCGGAGGGTAATACTGTGATAGCATGTGGCTTGACAACGCACGAATGAGATTCAATTGCTCTCCACACACCCCCCCCTCGACAATGACACATGCTCCTCCGTTGTATGATGAGTTGCCCTTGCCATCATAAATGGGTAATCAGCGCCAGGGCAGATGAGCCAATTTATCCGAATGATCGGGTCAAATGTAACCCGTTTACAGTTTCCATTCTCGTGATCGTGATCTCGTTGGCATGTACTCCACTTTCAAAATGTATCCTCAGTCATTGAATTCTAGGGGGAGTTCTCCAGACAAATTTACATTGAGATTAGATGCTTTTAAAGCGGACAAACCGCACGCGGATGGATTCCTGCAGTCACGAAAGCTTCAAATCATTATTAGTATCATTACGCCTCAAAAGCTAAAGCAGGTTGACCTGTTTCCATTTAAAGTTTTCGTGACTGCAGGGATTCATCTTCTTGGTTCTTTCGGTAAAGTCACGTAGAAGGGAAATAATAAAATAATAAAAATAAAACATAAAATAATTCTCACGACGTTTCGGCCACAAAGCAAGCAGCCGTCCTCAGGTGAAGACCAGGTCTGTCGGGGAGACAGCGTCATTCAGATGCTGTTTGTTCATTAAGACGCTGTCTTTCCGACAGACCTGTTCTTCACCTGAGGACGGCTGCTTGCGTTGTGGCCGAAATGTCGTGAGAATTGTATTTTATTATGTTTTATTTTATTATTTTATTATTTCCCTTCTACGTGACTTTACCGAAAGAACCAAGAGTACAGGTTGGCCTGGTTAGTAGTTTGGTGGCAAACTGCCCGGGTGTTCAGTACGGTACTAGGTACAGGGTGTTTCGTCTTGGGCTGTGCAGTGCCCAGTAGGTGATGGTACAGCGATGGATTCTTGATTCTATCTGTGCAGAGCTTTGAGTATCACGCTCAAGCACGCATCGGGCTCGCGAAGGAAAACACACGGCCTGGCGGTAGCGCGTTCACCAATTGTCGCAGAGGATCACAGTTCGAAGGCAGCAACCGCCCTGGTTAATACTGCGGTGCCTACTAACCGTACCGATACTCCGATTCGCACGGTTGGCTACGTACGGTGACAACGTTCAACACACGTCCATACAAGACTGTCACTATTTGCCGTCTGCTTCACAGCGGACGTTAGGAGTCCAGTGACTTCATTCGCAAGAGTCAAACTACCGCAACTGAAGGCGATGTTTTATTTCAGCAGGTAAGGCCCATTGAGCTGGCTCAAGGAAGCGGCTTCTCACTTGTAAATGTCCAGCAGGCAAATACCGGCTACGAACGTCGATTACAAAAAGTTGGGGGAGAAACGGGAGGACCCGGAGGGAAAAAATCCACGCAACCACGTGAAGATAGACACGCAAAGTGGAGATGTGAAGCTTCCGTGGCTGCAAGGATTCATACTCTTTGTTTTTTTTGGTAAAGTCACGTGGGCAAAAAATAAATAATAAAAATAACGGAAATTCTTCTATAAATAGGAAATATATAATTATACTTTTATTTCTATTTTTATTTCTGTAATTTTAATTATTAAAAATAATAATAATTGTTATTTTATTTCTATTATTACTCAGTTGAGGCCTTGCTGGGTAAACAGGCATCGTAGGCTCAGCGTAGCATCCTTCTAACTAAGAGGATTATTGCTCAGTGAGGCTTCACTGTACAATAGTATCAAGTGGCTCCCTCTACAGCAGTAGTGTCTACCGAGTAGTATCTACCAACTCTATGGTAGTAGCTACACAACAACAACAACAACATCAAATTTCGATTTAAAGCTTTCGTGACTGCAGGGATTCATCTTCTTGTTTCTTTCGGTAAAGTCACGTAGAAGGGAAGTAATAAAATAATAAAAATAAAACATAATAAAACAATTCTCACGACGTTTCGGCTACAACGCAAGCAGCCGTCTTCAGGTGAAGAATGAGACACTACCAAACTAGGAGCTTATATATAAGCTGCATTGGGGGTTGAAGAGCGCCTTAACAAAAAGAATGTGCATGTGAAGAGGGATTTAGCATATTCATGGAAAATGCGTAGGCGTTGGGCGGGGGGGTGTCAAAGTCATATTATGCCCATGCATTATGCAGGATCAGCAGCAACCAAGGGGGGTGCAGGGATTAGCAGTAACAAAGGAAAGGAATGTTAATGATATGTAGCTGCAGTTACTCAACAACCACGTAGAAAACTAAAGTATAAACTACATAAAAAACTAAAGTATAAACTGCATCGCACCATCAGTATACTTACTATACTCTATAATAAGCTGAGTTACTAACAGCAAGTAATACATTACAATTTTACCTCGTAAAAATTCTATAATATGCTTCCATCTAAACCTTATTCTCTTACATCACACGAGCATATACCGTACTATATACTGCCATAGATAAACCCAACATTAACACAACAACATCGTGGTGGTGGTGGTCGTGGTGCTGGTGCTGGTGCTGAGGGCGTTGAAGTTGCTGTTCACGACTTACCCCTCTCAGCTGCTGTTGCTCTGTTGCCGTGGCAACCGCACTATCGGCGCTTCTGCGCATGCGCGGTCGCCGTGGCAACCGCGCATGCGCAGACGCGTGCTTTGACCACTCCGAGACCGGCGTAGTGGTAATATTAATAATGATCGATTATAAAGTATTAGTGATCGATTATAAAGTATCGATTTCATTCGTTTACATTTGATGGAGGGTTGGTGGGGGGGGGTTAAACAAACAGCACTGACAGGCTCTTGCACAGCACTAGAATATATTGGACATTGAAATATATTGTGAACAGAAACCTATTGATTGGGGGCAAACGGTTCATGCTAAGGGTCCGTCCATAAATGACGTCACGCACCTATGGGGAGGGGGGCGGTCAGACATTTGTGACGATGCGTGACGAGGGGGGGGGGGAGTTGAGAAATGTGACGTCACATCAAAATGCGCAACTTTAAATAATATAATAATATAATTATGTTTTTTTATGTTTTATTTTCATTTTATTAATTTTATTATTTTATTCCCTTCTACGCGACTTTACAGAAAGAACCAAGAAGATATAGACGACACGTTCTACTTCACTAAATAGACTTCGTAATAAATGTTTTCTCCTACAACATCAGAGTTTAAAGCGATTTGAAGCATTTTTATTTTTGGGGGGTGGGGGGGGGGGCAGAGCTCTGTGACGTCATATTTGAGGGGGGGGGTCAAAAATCGTCCTAAATCGTGTGACGTCATTTATGGCCGACCTCATCGCTCGCCACCCGCCGGTTGGTTGTGGGTTCCAGAGTCGCCGTCCACTCGTTCAGCTCCTGCTGCCCCAGCAGTCGCTGCAGGCTACACGGGGGATCTTTGTCTTTGGCCTGGACTTGTGCAGCTGTTCTAGACTCATCTCAGGGTGCCGATTCCAAATCTGATCTCAGATTTGCTCAATCACATCTCATTTTTAAATCCTTTATATTAAGTTCACTTGCTTGCGCGCTTGCTTACGACCGTGCAAATCTTTCGGTCGTTTTTTAACCCACTTCCCGTGATCCAATCGAGCTGACATTTTGCACACAGACTCGTTGTGTGTGACAAGTAATGTTCGTGAAATTTTTTTTCCAAAATTTTACACTGTATAGGAAAAACAAATTCAATATTTAATTACCAATTGCTTAATGCTGGCAGACAATCATCTGACCCATAGGTGGCAGCCATCTCAAGCCAGAAGACGAGAGGACTCTAGCCGCCACGCATATAAAGGATTTAGAGTGAAAAACTTTGTTTTTACGGGTTATACTTATTATGCTATCGGCATACCCCATTTTCATTGATTTTACCCGAAATTAACTCTGTCACTTATGATTGCAAGTCGTTGCGAGTCAGTGACTGCTTTAGTGTTAAAACATGGTGCTGTATGTTTAGGATGGTGTGTTTATAATATCATTTTATGTAGATATCCACATTTATTTAATATTTTTCTTCCGCAGTTTTTATTGAAAATGCAAATATTTGATATCTCAAAAACCTGATGTGATAGACAAAAACTGATGCCAGATTTGGAATCAGCAGAAAACGTGTTTGACCAGTGTTATACTCGTTGGTCACGTAGGTATTTTTTTGTTAAAAATTAAATCACAGTTTCTGGCGTAACACAAACCTCCTTCTAAGTTGTCCCTACCTGAAGAAGGATGCTTGTGTTGCGCCCGAAACGTCGCGATCTAATTTATTTAGATTTTGTACCCACGTGACTTTACCGAAAAAACCAAAGAGTATGAATCCTTGCAGTCACGAACACTTCAAATCTAGAATTCACACTAGAATTGTAAACGTTGTTGTCGTGGGTTTACTCTCCAACGCACCTGTGTGCCGCTGTACGAGTAACGACACGGCGTGTTTTGTTTACGTGGCAACCCTCACTGATGGGCTGTGTCATCGGGTGGTGGAGGGTCTAACGACACATAAACACATTCCTCCTGCGGAGGGAGCTGGTAGGAACGTTGCTCGCTCAATGGCCTGCAGGGTCAACGGCGGCGTGGTGTATTCCGCAAATATGCCCGACTGTGAGGGCGGGCACAAGCCGGCGTGAGTAGGTTAAACGTTGAGTTTTATAAGGGCACCACGGGGTGACCAGCCCCTCTCCACCCAGCCCCACCCCACCCAGCCCCTCCCAAATCAGCCCCTCCCCACCCAGCCGCTCCCCACTCAGCCCCTCCCTGCACGACGGACACAATAATCCCATGTGGGCTGGTGTAACCAGAGGTTCCTACGAGTAAAATGTCAAACTCATTCAACCTTTATGGATGCTCAACATGGTATCAGGAGGCCTTCAACGGTGGATTTACAAAAAGGGGCTTAAAACATTCTTCACAGGACATCCATTGCTGACATCCCATAATGAGGTCAAGTCACCTGGCACCCACCTGGGATTGTGACTCATGGCCCCCACAACTTGTGAGTCAGATGTTCTTTTCCCAGTGCTGCTTGGCCAGATAGAACGTGCAACAGGACAACATGAAATCCTGTACACATCTGTGTATAAGCACCGTTTTAATAACGGCTAAAATTGTATTGCTGTGTCATTGAACCGTGAGTGAACGACCCCTTGTGATACAATGTTCAGGCCCTGTGTGGGGCATGTATCCACGTGAGTTCGTTTATACCAGAGGTCGCAAACGGGTTTTGATTCCTTACCCGTACCCGGCCGCACCAGGGTCGCAAACGGGTACCCGTACCCGTACCCTACCCGTACCCGGCCGGGTACCGGGTAGGGTACGGGTATCGGGTACCCGATTGCGACCTCTGGGATGAAGCCATGTTGCAGGCGCGGGTGGGTTGATTCTAGGAACTTGAATTGTGAGAAGAGACAAGACGTTGGGAAATGAGTGACAAACGATGACTCACCAGTGACTCACGGTCTACCCGTACCAGGCCGCACCAGGGTCGCGAACGGGTACCTGTACCCGTCTGGGTACGGGTAGCCGGGTATCGTGTAGGGTACGGGTATCGGGTACCCGATTGCGACCTTTGGTTTATACTCAATTGTCATATGGTCGTGTCAGTGCGCACATGGCTGCGACGCTGTCACACAGTTATATGATGACTGACCCAGAA